ATATAGTATATTAATATATACAACTAAAATTACTAATAAAGATATAAGCAAGGCCTCACCTTAATACCAAAAAAAAAAATAATAATAATAAAATAATACTATAAAAATATATATAAAATTGTAAAGATTAAAAGATTGTAAATTGAATAATCATTCTTTAAAACAAGTTTTTTCAAATTCATCAAATTCCTGTTTTCTTTTTTTAGATATTTTTATAATTGAATTTTGATTATTTAAAAGTTTAATACATAGTTTTTTATTAATATTTTCTAAATTTTTTAGAAAAATTATATTTTCTAGAAGTAAATTTTTCTAATAATGATTATAAACTTCAAAACTAGAATTAATATAATCAACATTTGCAATAATATCACCTAATTTATAAAACATATTAATTTCTTATTTCAAATATACATTATTATCATTATAAATATAAAGATTTTCAAAATCATCATCATAAACATAATTTTTAGCTTCTTCAATATCTTTAATATCTTCTACAAATTTAATATCAAATTTATTATTGATGAACTTTTGAATATATCCTGGTTTGATTCTTTTATTATTAGATTTTATAAAAAATTTAACACAACTATCAAGATATCTACCATACATATCAATTATATATCCATGAGTATAGGCAATCAAATTAGCAAATTACCTATGTAATGCATATCTTTTTTCTTGATGTTCTAAAACTATATTGCTATATACTTTTTTTCTAAATGAAAATAAATCATCAAGAGAATCTTGTCCAGTAAATATATTGAACTTTGAAACTATTTTTATAGGAGATTTATTTCTTTGTTTTATTACATATTGATCTTGCGATATTATATTAAGAAGATCATTTAAAGTAAATGTATTATATGAAAGTTTTTGCTTAATAATATATTTATTATTGGAATATTCATCAATATATTTACTATCTTGTGCTTTAATGCAATATCCTTGTCCATTTGTTAAAGTCATACCCAGTTTATTCACAAATGTAGTTTTTTCAGTATCTGAATCTCCATAAAATAAAAAATTTTTTGAATAAAATTTTTTATCAGAAATAATTTTTTTCTTATTAATAAAAGAAAGTCAATCTCTTTTGATCATCTTATAATGCTGAGGATTTGTACACCAATATGCTGGCAGTAATTTTTTATTTGTTATAACTTCTTCATATAGAATTTCATCATTATGAAGTTTAATAATTCTTTTCATATCATCTAACTTTAATTTATTTATATCATCTGTTTCTTTTTCAGTTTTATCTAAAAATTGATATGTACCAAATTCAAATGGGCCAACAATATCTGAAGATATTTTTCTACATTCCCAAGCAGCTAATTTATATTCACATGTTGAATCACATTGATCACAAATTTTATTAAAATTAAAAAAATTACATGTACAATTTGGATAAATTTTATAACAATCATAATCCTTCATTGTATATGCATGATTCTGATCAGAATTTCCTTTAAGTTTTGTAGGAAATGATATTGATCTATTATTAAATATTTCTTTTGTATTTTTAATAGTTTGATATTTGTATTTATAAAATTGCATATATAATTGAGCATGAAGTTTACTATTAACAATAGGTTCAAATTTACTACAAATATATGATACTTTATCTTTTATTTGTTCATAATCTGTTTCAGTCACTGGAAGTAACCATTTACATAATTCAATTTTATTTATTTCTTTACAATAATCACAAATTACATTATTGCATTTGTTTAAATTGCAACAGTTTGTACATTTTTTATTTTTACAATGCCAATGGCAAGCATTACAGAGTTCGCATAATAGAACACCTGATTGTTTAGATTGTTTTTCACAAAGTTCTTTATCTTTCTTTAATTCTGTCTTTTTACATTAAAATTTTTTTTTACAAGGGATACAATAATATGATGTTGTGACATTATGGATAAATTCATTTAATTTGCTCATTTTTTTTTTACAAAAATTTTCTTGGACTGAGATCCGTAACCAACATATTTATAATTTATTTATTTATATTGTTAATCTAAAATTAATAGTACATACATTGATATATATATATTAATTGATTTTTATGATCGACTAAAATTTATACATATCAATTATGCTTTTATACAATTATAAAGATAAAACAACTTTAACGATATGATCATATAATAGATATTAAAAAAGAACGAACCCTTGAATAAAAAAATTTTATTAATCAAAAAAATAAGGTACATATACATTTCATTAGCATACAAATGATAGACTTACTGAATCACAGCATTACAGCATTTTACAAGTAGAATTAATTGCAGCATATCTAATTTTATTAAACAAACTGCACATTTCTATATTTAGTCATTTATTAATTTATACATACTATATACTATTTAATTAAACTACTTATTTAAATTATTTGTTAATTTATACTACGTATACTATTTAACTAAACTACATATTTAACTTATAATTCATTTATGCTATATACTATTTAACTGCGTATCTAAGCTATTTGTTATTTTATACTATGCTATTTAATTAAGCTGCACATTTAAATTATTATTAACTTTACTATTTAACTGTATATCTAAGCTATTTGTTATTTTATACTATGCTATTTAATTAAGCTGCACATTTAAATTATTATTAACTTTACTATTTAACTGCGTATCTAAGCTATTTGTTATTTTATACTATGCTATTTAATTAAGCTGCGCATTCTTTATATATTTAGATTAATTATTAACCAAAACTGCATATACTATATTATTTTAATTAAACTGCGCATTTCTATATTTAGGTATTTATTAATATATACTATACTATATATACAAACAAAAACTGATCAGGACGTAATTCATTATATATTTTCTAACTAATATTCATTATCTTAATTATTATAATTAACTTGTTATAAAAAACTAATCTATTATTATTGTACTATTTTTTAAGAATCGCTTTATACTTACATACTATAACTTTACTTCTTTATTTTATTTATTTTTCTTGCATTATTTTCTGAGAATCGCATGTTTAACACTACATAGCTACAAGATATATAACTTACATTACTTAATAAAACATTAATCAGATTTCTCAAGAGCCGTCATCTTATCAACTATAAGCTAATCAAAATCTAGAAGTATAAAAATTAAAATGATGCTACTAAAAATTAAAAATAATAGTAATTTAAGGAACGAATTGTTATTAAAATCGTGAACCTGGAAAACATTTTTACTTCACTATGTTTATTATTTACTAATATAATGTCACTTTTAATTCTTTCTATTTTTTTTATATTGCTCTAACGAATCAAATAAATGAATATTAAAACTAATATCCTAATATACATCCAATACTATAATTTAATAATTACTGTAAATCTACAAATTGTTAAGTTAAAAATCACATGGTTTATAGCCAATCAGAATAAAAAGTTAGTTTTCTCGTACTAGTAAAAAAACTGAACGTTTTCTCAGACCTTATGTAAAATCACTAATTAAATTTTGGCGAAAATCTCTTACCATAAAAAAATCTGAAAAATCACTAATTAAAAAAAAAGTCAAAATCTCTTACCAGCAGATTCATTATTAAAATTTCCAAAAATTATATTAGGAAAATATACCGTGAGTTGACTTTTTCAGAAATAATTATAGAGCTGGTGTAGTGTAAGGTCACTCACCCCAAAATTACTTTTTTTTGTACTCCAAAATCTGTACCCTAAAATTATAATAAATTTCTGCAGATAATTATTTGTACCCTAAAACTACTACCCTAAAATCACTATACTATTTCTGCGGATCACGTGCTAAGTGCAGTTGGTAACATTGGAATTTTACACTTAGCAAAAAATAATTAAATAAAATGAAATTAATATTGTAAAATATAACAAATTTGTTAATTATTCTTTTAAGCAAATATTTTAGAAGTTGAATACAAAAATATTGGTATTGCCTATATTAAAAGATATAAGAATATTAATATTGCTTTAGTTTTAAAAACTTATATATATAATTTTTTTATAACTATAATCTTCTATAATACTGCTTTTATATATAATGCTTATTTTTATAATTGGCTTTTTTTAAAAATTTTTTATTTCAAATTTGTAATTTTATTTAAACTTTTTCTATAGGTTATTGTATTAATAGATTATACAAACAAAATTGACTTCAACTTAACTCAAATTATTAATCTTATTTATAAAATGTTTAGAAACTTATCTGCTAAGCTATCTAATTCAAATATTTGTTTTTATTATATATATATTTTTTATAAAATAAATAATTTTAATCTTTTTTATAATTTTTATAAAATTAATTTTATATTATTTTAATTGTTATAATAATAAACTTTTGTTTCTTAAATAATTAGATTATGCTTTATACTAATTTTACTATTTTTTTTTAAAGTTAAACTAGTTTTTCTAAAACTAGATCTTTTTTATTCAGTATATAGAACATAAAAGCTCACAACTTAATTACTTTAGAGAAGCAACCTTATATTAGAGAGTACATCTAGTTATATATATACTTTTAGTATTTAATTTAAGTAATTTGCCTATATATAAGTTTTATACTAGCTGTTATACTTGCAATTCAACTACAGATATTGCCTATTTAAATTTTTTATATTGCAATTCAACTGTATTACTAAATTATTTTTAATACCAATATTAGTTAAAAAGATCTAAATGCTTATCTATATCTTTAGGATATTTATCTTATTTCATGTAATTTATTTTTAAAATATTGTTACTATAGTAAAATTAATATAATTTCAGTACTTTTTTTTTATAACCTTACTAATATCTTGTCTATTCTTATAAGTTTTTTTATACTACTAATCCAGTTAGCTTTGTATAATATAACTTTATACTCAGATTAACTAATGGCCAAGCTGGTAGACCTTTTACTTAAAGGCTCTTGTCTGTATAGATCACCTGCTTTAGGTTTCTTTTTTAGATCAAGATCTTTATAGATAATACTGTTAAAAGTTATATTACTTCTTTACTTAAAATTTCCAAGCAGATTTCTTATTTAAATATATACTTTTCAGATTATTCATATGATATTAGACACTTTTAAAATTAGTCTTGATATAACCAGAATTACAAGATCTACAAACCTCAAATTACAGATAAGTTTGTCAAAATAAGACTATTTTTTAAAATTTTTTTACTAATAGAATTTGAATACTGAACCTATTGCTTAAAAGATAACAACTCAATTATTATACTAAGATCACTATTCTTTTTTATTGTTTTTAATTTTTTTTTAATAATTTTTTAAATTAAACTAGTTTTTCTAAGACTAGAATTTTTTTTAATATATAAAATATAAAAGCTTATAGTCTAATTATCTCAGAGAAGCATTTTTTTTTTTTAATATTAATAATGAGACTATGCTTTCATATTTATTGAATATTTAATTAAGATTTTATATAAAGTACAATTCTGCTTTTAAAATATTATAAAAAGAATAGAAGCTTAGACTAATTTATCTGTAACCTAAACTAACCAGATTGGTCAAAGCTTATCTATATTTAAGTATTAGTAATTATGTATAGAAGATTAGTTTAATATTTAATTCATTAGATATACTAAGAGTTTATTTTTAAACTAATAGAATTGAGTGACAGAAAGTATAATAGAAGTGAGGCAGTATTTGAAGGTGTGTTATATTTAGGGGTTGGGCTGTAAATCTTAAGATACAATATAGAATTCAGATTTTGTGAGATTTGTTGATTAAGATGAAGTAAAAACTTAATTATAAGTATTATGGCTATTTTTTTGAATGACAAAATTGCAATAATATTAATAAGTTCATTTGGTATTAGACCTGTTAAAGTTGAAAAGATTTAAGATAAGTCTAATATACTATGAATAGTCATATTATTCAATAGCTTAATTTAATTATGCAGATTGGTTATAGTATTTGATGTAGTATCAAATATTTTAGTATTTAAAATATGTTGTAATGAAATGTCAATGAGACTGTATAACAGTTAATTAGATGGGCAAGTTGTCCAGTAAAGGTAAGAACTGATTTGGTAACAATGATAACAGATAGGTGAGTATAAGTAATATCATTTGTGTAGAATATGTGAAGTAAGAAGGTTGTCTAGTAGAATTTTAATTCTAAAAGATTTAAGAGTAAAGAACTAAAAGCTGTATAAGAAGTTTGAAATTTTTTGATTGTTATTAATATATAGCTAGGTAGCTTGCCAATTAACTTGGTTAAAAATTGTGTCATTTTTGAAAACAGTAAAATAATAACAAATACTAAATTGGAAGTAGAGTAAAATGAAACAACAGCAATCAAGAATATAAAACTAGTAACAAAAACAAAAATCTATAATTAGACATACTTTTGAAAAAGGCTGAAGTCATCTAAAAAAGTATATTGTTTGATATAAAAAAGCAGTACAAAAAAAAGTGCTTTTATGAAATATATATT